GTTCCCGTCGTTCAGAATGGAGCTCTCGCGCAAGCGCGTGCCATTTTTCTGGATTCCTGTTTTTTTCGTCGTTGTCGCCCCCCTCATGTCCCCTCCTCCGCATTCCGCGGGCCTCCTGCTCCTCCCGCTCCTCCCTCTCCAGCTCCTGCTGCTGTTCGCCATCGATCCGACTCAATTCCGATCCTCTGACGATCCGACCCGGCTTGATTTTTACACGGCGTTGCTGCGCATCCTGGCGCAGCCGATCCGACCCGATCCCGACTCATTGCCCTCATGCCCTATCCGGTGCACATTTCGTTTCGACCCGATCTGCCGGCTGGATGCTGACTGATCCTGCCCTTCCCCTCTTCGGGGAAGTTTTTGCTCTTTCAGGAACGCATCCGCCCGCTCTCGGACCGCCCATCCCCGGCGACCGCCGCCTCCACTGCCCATGACCGATGCACATCTCGTTTCGACCCGATCTGCCGGCTCGGTGCCGACGGATCCTGCCCTTCTCCTCTTCGGAGAAGGTTTTTGCTCTTTCAGGGGCGCACTCTTCGGGGCAGCTCTTGCTCCTCCAGGGGCGCACCCGCCCGCGCTCGGGCCGCCCATGCCCGGCGACCGCCGCCTCCGCTGCCCATGACCGACGCGGCTGCGCCCAGCGCGCGGGCCCATGCGCCAGGCCCCTCAGGCTGGGCCGGAGCCGACGGGCCGGCCCCAGAGGCCGGCCCCGAAGGAGCCTTTGGGGCTACCAGCCTGGAGCCTATCCCTATCCCTATGCTCTTGGCATCGCTCGGACGTGTGCGTTTTTGCCTCGGTGGGGACCATCGAGGAGCATCCTTGATCACTTGGCGAAAAAACCGCGCACGAAGCCGAAAGAAGCACAGGGGATGGACGTCCGAGCGATGGCGAGTGTTGGGCATCGCCTCGTCAAGATGGCGATCTCAGGGATTCCCCCAGTTTCTGAGGGTGCATCCCTACGATTGTCATCGCCTTTGGGCGTGTCGATCTTAGGGATAGGGATAAGTTCGAGGCTGGTGATGGGAGTCCTTCTCTTCACCTCCAGTTCTGGTACCCCTCCCTGACCACCCGCCCGGTATGAGGACAATCCCGGAGGCCTCGCGTGGCGCGCAAGAGTTGCAGGATCCAGTCCTCACGTCCGCCCTGTCAGATTTGGGACGACCTTCGCGCGGCGATACTCCGACCCAAGACCGGCGTGGATCCGACGTGGATCCGACGTGGATCCGACGTAAATCCGACGTAATCCGACGGGGACCCGACGTAAATCCGACGTGGATCCTAGGTTAACTGGATCTCAAGTCGTCCCGCGAGGCGTCCATGATTTCTTCGCAAGGTTCGGATGATCGCGCCGCCCCTTGAGCCCGTTTCTGTATTGCTTGGGGCATGGCGGGCGTCATGGCCCCCGCTCCCCCCCCCATTACGTAATGCTCCCTCCCACAGTGCGCTCCGGGCACTGCCGCCGTGCGCATTGGGATCCCGCAGTCGTCGTCGTCGTCGCCGTCGTCGTCGTCGCTCATCATCGTCGCTCGTGGCTCGTCGCTCGTCGCTCATCGTTGTCGTGCGCGCGGACACGGCTGGAGCCTGTTTATTATTCCAGGCCGATGACCGCAATCATTTGGGGCGGGGGGTGGAAGGGGTCGATGACGTCACGATTCGCGCCGGGGGCGTTTGGGAAAGCCTAGGAATGACGGAGGACGGGTCGCACCAGCAGGTAGGTGGCGATCTGCACCACAACGCCTGTGTACACCACTGTGCCTGCGTGCACCACAGCGCCTGTGTACACCACACCGCCTATGTACACCACAGCAGCCGCGTGCAACACAGCGTCAGTTTGCCGCCGTGCCTGCGGGCACAACAGCTCTAGTGTACACCACAGCGCCTGCGTACACCACATCAGCCGTGTTCATCATAGCACCAGTGTACACCACAATGCCTGCATGCATTACAGTGCCTGTGTACATCACGACGCCTGTGTGCACCACAGCAACCTTGCGCAACACAGCACCTTCTTGTATATAGAATGTTCGAAGGAATCCTTATGACAAAATGGAGCGCTTGTGGATTCCACACAAAACAATAGAAAGGAATCCTTATGGACAAAGGAGCGCCGATGGAATCTACGAGTCCTCCCGAGTCCGCCAGCATCACCCTAACTCCTCCCATTTGCATCCAGGAGGCTCCACCTAAATTGGCCGTCCGAGAACCACATGGACCGATTCAATATACCATTCTGCGATGCACGCTGAGATGCGCACGTGCGCTGTAGCGCCAACCCGCACGACAGAGGGGAAGGAGGAGGAGGAGGAGGAGGTGGAAGTGGAGGAGGAGGCAGGAGGGAAGAACGTCGCTTTCGACTATCAGTTTTTTCCCAACCCTCCTGTGTTGGGTTCTCGTTTTGAATAGAGCAGTGTGGTCTCTACCCTCCTTCTCCCGCCTCCCTTCTCCTCCCCTCCTTCTCTCCTGTTTCTTGTGTTCCCCTCTCCTCTCGGCTCCTTTCGTGGGCTCCTGGGAGGCCCAGCGGAGGTACGCCATACGCGGACCACCTCGGGACCTCGCCGCCCTCTGGGGGGCTTGCGATCTGCGCAATTGTCGCCACTTTCGTGGGCTCCTGGGGGGGGGGCCCAGCGGAGGTACGCCATACGCGGACCACCTCCTATCCTCGCCGCCCCTTGGGGGGCTTGCGATCTGCGCCACTGTCGCCACTTTCGTGGGCTCCTGGGAGGCCCAGCGGAGGTACGCCATCCGCGGACCACCTCGGGACCTCGCCGCCCCCTGAGGGGCTTGCGATTGGCGCAATTGTCGCCACTTTCGTGGGCTCCTGGGAGGCCCAGCGGAGGTACGCCATCCGCGGACCACCTCGGGACCTCGCCGCCCCTTGGGGGGCTTGCGATCTGCGCCACTGTCGCCACTTTCGTGGGCTCCTGGGAGGCCCAGCGGAGGTACGCCATCCGCGGACCACCTCGGGACCTCGCCGCCCCCTGGGGGGCTTGCGATCTGCGCAATTGTCGCCACTTTCGTGGGCTCCTGGGAGGCCCAGCGGAGGTACGCCATCCGCGGACCACCTCCTATCCTCGCCGCCCCTTGGGGGGCTTGCGATCTGCGCCACTGTCGCCACTTTCGTGGGCTCCTGGGAGGCCCAGCGGAGGTACGCCATGCGCACAATTTGTTTCAGGCCCTTGTGTTTCCATTGTGCATATTTGCCGTTCCTCTTCTTGCTGTGCTCTTGAAATCACTGCTGGGTGCTCTTCTTGCGCACTGCGGGGCCTTCAGAATGCCAGTCAGCATTGGGTGGTCCTGCGTATAATCGCCACATGTATAGAAAGGGTTGGGTACGTCACAGGGTAGTTTTTCTGGCGTGGCGTTGAGTTGTCCGCAGCAGATCCTCGCGTACATGCTCCTTCTACCTGTCTGATTCACGCAGGCACTGTGGTGTACACCAGCGTTGCGTTGCACGAGGTTGCTGTGGTGTAGACAGGCGTTGTGGCGTGCACAGGCGCTGCGGTGCACGCAAGCATTGTAGTGTACACAGGCGCTGTGTTGCACGTGGTTGCTGCGGTGTACACATGTACACCGGCGCTGTATTGTACGCAAGCACACTCTGGTGTACCTAGGTGCTGCGTTGCACACGGTTGTTGCGGTGTGCGGAGGCGCTGTGGTGTACACGCGCGCTGTGGTGCACGCGAGCGTTGTGGTGTACACAGGCGCAGTGGGGCAGATCGCCACCTACACATGCTGCTCGCGTCGTCGTCGTCGTCGTCGCTCGTCGTTCGTCGCGTCGTGCGCGCCGGCGCGGCTGTGGTGTCGGAGCCACACAGCGAGGGGGAGGCGTTACGTCATTACCCCCCCTTCCGCACCCCCCCAATGACGCCCGTCATCGCCGAACATAGAGAAACGCGCTCTTCGAGATCCGACGTCACGAACAAATTGCAACATCATGAGAAATCGCGACTGGAGCCCTACACACCATCTTTCTGCTCCTCTCTGGAGTCGGACCGATCTGTGATGGTCCGGGGCCCGAACACGTTCGAAAACGCCCAGTGTGAATTAGCCTGGCGAAGGAACCAACCATAATTGTGCAGTTGTGAGTAATGCAGTTGTGAGTACCGTCTTCGGTGAGCTACATACGGGGACCCGAAACATGTGAGGGGTGTGTCGGAGCTCGTGCGGTGGGCGCATGCGAACGCAGCCAGTGGGGCCTTCGGTGGAGCTCCCTAAGCCGCGAAACGTGTGAGGGGTGTGCCGACATGGGTGCGGTGGGCGCATGCGAATGCAGCCAGTGGGTCTTTCGGTGGAGCTCTCTGTGGGGCTGGTGTGCCGAAGTGGGTGCGGTGGGTGCGTGCGAATGCAGCCAGTGGAGCCTTCGGTGGAGCTCCCTGTGGGGCCACGAAACGTGTGAGGCGTGTGTGTGTGTGTGTGTGTGTGTGTGTGTGTGTGTGTGTGTGTGTGTACCGACATGGGTGCGGTGGGCGCATGCGAACGCAGCCAGTGGAGCCTTCGGTGGAGCTCCCTATGGGGCCACGAAACGTGTGAGGTGTGTGCCGACATGTGTGCGGTGGGCGCGTCGCATGCGAACGCAGCAGCTGGGGCCCTCGGTGGAGCTTCTTAATCATGGGGCCAAGAAGCGTGTGAGGGGTGTACCGTAAATTAGTGCGTGGGGCGCATGCGAACGCAGCCACCGGGGCCTTCGGCGGAGCTCCTTATGGGGTCACGAAGCGTGCGAGGGGTGTGCCGAAATCATGTGCCGAGAGCAAAATGAAGGAGGGTGACGCGGCGCGGTCTTGCGACCCCGTCTTCGGCCGCGCGCAGAGGGGGGTGGGGGGAGGGCTTCTTAGAAGCACCCCTGCTTCTCAGAAGGCGCGGGCCTTCTCTGTAAATACAGGGCCACAGCTTTCTGAGAAGCGGCCTCCTTCCGAGAAGCCCTCCCCCCTCCCCCCACCCCCCTGGTGCGCGCCGCCAACGTCTGCTCCGAGCCCCGTCCTTGGGAGGCGGGAGGCCCCCGCATGCTGCAGGCCCCCGGAGGCGGCGCGGGGCCGCCGGGCCCCGTACCGAGCCCCCTGGCGGCGCGGTGGAGCCTGGGGCTGCGGCTGCTGCGGGATGCGTCGCGGTCTGGCACGCAGTTCGGCAACATCCCCTGGAGCTCAGAGGAGGGAAAGGCACACACACATGCACACACACATGCACACACACACACATGCACACACACAGACACACGGACACACGGACACACGGACACACGGACACATGGACACACGCACACATTGCGACCGCTACCCTTCCCTCGTGTTCCCCTGCGTGGGCCTCCTGGGAGGCCCTCGTCGCCACCGCCGGATTCGCCCCGAAATTCTGGTCGAAACGCACCCCAGGAGAGGTCCAGGGAGCAGCGGTATCGGCACCTTTGGGTCTCCCCATCAGGAACCAGGCCATCAGCGCATCCGGGAAGGGCAGGCAGTGGCAGCATGCTCTCGCGCTGCTGAGCGAGATGGTGCAGTCAGAGGTGGAGTTGGATGAATTCAGCTGCACTGCCGGGATCAGCGCCTGCGAGAAGGGCGGTCAATGGCAGTGGGCGTTGTCGTTGCTGAGCGAGCTCTGGGAGGCTAAACTGCAGCTGGGCATCATCAGCTGCAACGCCGCAGTCAGCGCGTGCGAGAAAGGCAAGCAATGGCAACATGCACTGTCGGTTCTCAAGCTAGCTCGGGAAGTGGAACTGGAGCCCAACACCATCAGCTACAATGCTGGACTCAGCGCGTGCGAGAAAGGTTGGCAGTGGCAGCGAGCGCTGCTGTTGCTCGGCGAGTTGAGGGAGGTAGAGTTGGAGCCGACCAGTATCTCCTACAATGCCGGGATCAGCGCGTGCGAGAAAGGCGGACAATGGCGGCTGGCGCTGCGGCTGCTCACCGAGCTCCTGGAGGTGAGGCTGGAGCCCACCGTGATCAGCTACAGCGCCGGAGTCAGCGCGTGCGAGAAAGGGGGACAGTGGCAGCAGGCGCTGGCTGTGCTCGCCGCTTTGCGCGAGGCATTGCTGGAACCAAATACGATCACCTACAACGCCGGGATCAGCGCGTGCGAGAAGGGCAGGCAGTGGCAGCAAGCGCTGTGTCTGCTCAGCGAGTCGTCGGAGTTGCGCGCGAATCCACATGTAATAAATGGCCATAATGCTGCGATTAGCGCGTGCGAGAAGGCGGGGCAGTGGCAGCGGGCGCTGTTGTTGTTCATGGCGCTTCGCGAGGTGGAGTTGGAGCCGCAAGCCATAAGCTACAATGCTGTAATTAGCGCGTGCGACAAAGGATCGCAATGGGAGCATGCACTGGCACTTCTCGGAGAAATGCGGGAGACGAATCTGGAACCAGACGTCATAAGTTGCAGTGCTGGAGTCAGTGCATGCGAGAGGGGTGGGCTGTGGCAGCAGGCGTTGTTGCTTCTTCGTGATTTGCGGGAGGCGCAGGTGGAGCTAGACGTCATTATCTGCAGTGCTGGCGTCAGCGCTTGCGAAAAGGGCGGGCAGTGGCAGCAGGCGATACATTTACTCAGCATGCTGTTGGATGCACAGGTGGATCCAGACGTTATCATCTACAGTTCTGTAATCAGCGCGTGCGAGAAACTCGGGCAGTGGCAGGTGGTGCTGTCGCTCCTCAGTGACATGTGGAACTCGAAGATGCATCCAGACATCATGAGCTACCAAGCTGGGGTAAATGCGTGCGAGCAAGGCGGGCGGTGGCGGGCAGCGCTGTCATTGCTCAGGAAGGTGATGGAATTCGTATCGGAGACTAGCGCGGACGGTTCGCACTAGCCGAGTGTCGCCTCCAGGCGAGAAATGGGCACAGCATGGGCTGGCCAGCCGGGCTCGTCCCCCGGTACATCGCGCGACTTGCCCGTACACGTTACATGTCACCACCCACCAAACCACCCCAACCCAACCCGAAGGCTCAGATTTACCCTCGATTTCCAGTGGGGGGGGGTCGGGAAACGTCGAAAAAACACGAGTGGAACCCTTACCCCCCCCAACCCGAAATTCGGGTCTTCGGGTTGGGTTGGGGTGGTCTGGTAGGTAGTCAACATGTGAGAGGGACCTTTCGTCGGAGTGACCTTCGGTGCGCGGCTTCGGCCGTGGGGGGGGGCGCGGGGGGGGGCCACGCCCGAGCTTGCAGGCTGCTGCGGTCGCACCGCGTGCAGCGATCGGCAAGGGCTCCCTCGAGGGCGCGAAGTTATTCGCGCTTCGCGCTTCGCGGTCCTCGTTCCTTCTCCCCCTCCTCCTCGTCCTCCTATTCTCCCTTTGGGAGGGCGGCGCGAGAGCGCGAAGTTATTCGCGCTTCGCGCTTCGCGCAGCGCGAAGCGCGAAGCTGGGAGCCCTAGGATCGGCAGGCCGCGCACCGAAGCTCGCTCCTGCCCAGGCTGCTCTTGCGATCCGCCGACCCCATGCCTTGCCCTGCTTCGGGGGTGGACAGAACCCCCAACAGTGACACGTCGATTAGTGAATTGTCCGTTTTCGGTTCTCGAGATGGCGCCGTGGCCGTTGTTTTCCAGGCTTGCGCCCGCCAGGTTTGGGCCTCAGGTCGTTTTCACTAAACCACGTTTTACTAAAGGGGGGTCTGTCCATCCCCGACTGCTGTGGCCCTCTGTGTCTGGCTTCCCTCGGACCCCCCCCGTCTGCCTCAGATGCCCTCGCCGTCTGGCACGGGGAGGAGGCCGGCTGTCCGCCGACACCGAGCCTGGCCTGCTCCAGCCCGGGTCTGGCACGGGATCGGTGGACCCCCCCTCCCTGTCGAGGCCCGGGGGGGGGAATCCCGAGCTCAGAGCTGGCCTTACCAGCGTTGGGGACAGCACAAGCCACCCCCACTCCCAGCCAGGGCCCCCCCCCCTCCTCCCGACCTGGTGATCCAGGGGGACCTGGCTGGGGGTGGGGGCTTCGATATGAAAAACGCTGAGGGCGTTTTTTTTGTAGGTTTCAACTGTTCGGTTTTCGGCCGACCAAACGCAAAACAAAAAAAAGGCAGCCCAACATAGAGACGAACGGCAGTACACAACGGAACCGAAATGACAACGGCGTGACAACGGCGTGAACGAGGAGAACGAGGATCCCCAACCAGAAAGAACAGCGGACCCGTACAAACAAAAACAAACAATGAATTCCTGAACGGATAAGTGTCTCCTCTCAGAGTGTTGAACATCATTGACTGGTCAGGGTGTTTCTTCGGGGGGGTTCTTTGGGGCCAGGACCCCCCCGTTCGGAACCCGAGCTCGGAGCTGGCCCTGCCAGCAACGCCTCCTGGGGATTGGGGTGTCGATCGGCGCCAGCCCAAGAACCCCGCGCGTGCCGCCGATGGTTTGCATGGCTGTGCCTGTCGTGCTTCCTCTTACCTCTAACCAGCAGTCCAAGTCTGGGGGAGGAGGCGGAGGAGGAGGAGGAGGAGGAGGAGGAGGAGGAGAAGGAGGAGGAGGAGGAGGAGGAGGATCTTCTTCTGCAGACCTGTCTGGGGCGATTTTGCCACCGTTTTTCAGCATTTCGGTTTTCGGCAAATCGAAAGGGGGGCAGATCGGCAGCCCCCGAACGGGATCAGGCAGAGATCAGATTGGGGTCACCACAAAAGCGAATCGGCGAGGTCGACGAGGAGGAGGAGGAGGAGGAGGAGGAGGAGGAGCAGGAGGGGGAGGAGGGGGAGGATGGGGGAGGAGGAGGAGGAGGAGGAGGAGGAGGAGGAGGAGGAGGAGGAGAAGGAGGGTCGGCAGTTGGAAAGGGCACGGAGTCAGTATTGGCAGTCCGCACAAGTGGACACATGCATCTTCTCGGGATCCGGCACCCACGAGCTGCTGCTGCGAAGCGACGCCCGCGCAGGGTCCCCGACGACGATGCACTGACGAGATTCGCAAAAAAACTTTGCAAAAAAATCCAGGATTGCAAAAAAACCCAGGATTGCAAAAAAAAACCCTGGGTGAAGGATTGCAAAAAAACCCTTCGTTCCAGGGTTTTTTTGCAATCCTTCGTTCCAGGGTTTTTTTTGCAATCCTGGGTTTTTTTGCAATCCTTCATTCAAGGGAGGAAGAGTCGCCCGGACCGGACAATTGGCGTCTACGGAGCGGCCCTGGGCTTCTACTGAGCAGCCTTGCCCTGCCTGATTCTTTCTTTGGGTGTGTTTACTAAACGGCTTCGCGGGTCGGGGTGGCTATTATCGGGGTGGATGTTCTGCCCTCTATCAGAGCGTGAATTACCTCCCCCGCTTTCGCTTCCAGGCAAAACCAGGTCATGCCAGGCGCCTCCTCGTCAGGCGGCCCGACCAATACAGACCGCAATTTGGCATCGCTTGGTATCTCTTGGAAGCGAGGGTGGTCAAAAGCGAGGCAGGTTTGTTTTCCCCCTATACTAAACGGCTTCGCGGGTCGGGGTGGCTATTATCGGGGTGGATGTTCTGCCCTCTAGTGATGTCCCTGTGAGGGGCTGCGGCCCCACACCGCCGTGCCGCGCAGTCGGGCGCTCCCCGCAGTGCGCGTGGCATGCGGCGTCGGCGCTCGGCTTCCGCCTCCGTCTGCAAAAGCAGAGCCCCCTCGAAGACGGCACGAGCGAGCCTCCCCAGGCGGGGAACGCCGACACCCACGCGGATCGGGAGACTCTTCATGGGGGGGATCCCATGGGGGGACAGGATCCCAGGGGGGGGGGATCCCATAGGATCCCCCCCCATGGAGAGTCTCCCGAGCGGACAAAGCAGACATCGGCATGGAGCACCGGAGGAGGACACGGCCTCAGCGTTGCAGCCACCCGCCATCTGTCTTGGCATCGCTCGGACGTGTGCATTTTTTTTTTCCTCGGCGAGGACCATCGAGGAGCATCCGTGATCATTTGGCGATTAGAAACCACGCACGACACCGAGAAAAAAACACAGGAAATGGACGTCCGAGCGATGGCCAGATGTCCGTCTACCAACTGAGGGCGACGCCGGTGCCCGACGCCCCTCCCAGTGCCCGCCGCGCCGCCCCCTCGGCGGCGCACCCCTCAGGGGCAGCTTGTCGGGGGAATGGGGGGTCTCCCGGGGCAGAATCGTCGGCCCCTGGGGTAAGCAAGAATGGTCGGAGCGCTGGACTGTTTTTTCACCCTTGCGCGAAACAGCTCGCTCCTCCCCTGCCCAAGTGCCGGGTCTGGGGGATTCCGTGAGCACCCGGTATGTTGCTAGCACCCCGTGCCGCCCGCGATGGGGAAAGAACTGCCCTGGGGAGAGGGTCGGGATCTCCAGGCGCCGCGCATGGACAGACTCAGCACGCCGCATGTCCGGTGCTCTCCCTCTCTCTCTCTCTCTCATTCTCCTCCTCCTCCTCCTCCTCCTCCTCCTCCGCCTCCGCCTCCGCCTCCGCCTCCTCGTCCTCCTCCTCGCCAGGGGCAAGGTTATAGGTCGGGGGACAGGATCAGGCGGGGGGGGAGCATCGGCCACGGCTCGCCCACTCGGCGCCGATTTGCGCCCGATGCGATAGCCCCCCCCAGGAACGTGCGGTCCCGCTACACCGGGCTACCGGGGGCCTATGGCCGATCTACCGGCGAGGTACCGCCGATTCCAGGTCCATGGTTTCCCCTCCCTCCGAGCTGGCCCCCCTCCGCCGCCTGGTGCCCCCTGTCCGCCGGGCTCCGCGGAGGAGCGCGCCAAGGGAGCGTGCGTGGCAGGGGTGGGCGCCCTTCGCCAACCAGGGGGGCGCATCCTCGGGCATTGAGAGAGCGCCCACCCAGACACGTCGACTGAGGAAATCTGCGGTTCACTCGACATTGGCGTTCGAGTGTGCGGGTGCAGTCCCCAGTCGGTTTCTGTAATCGACGTTCGCCCCGCTGGATACATAGCACCCCGCAGTTGCGGATAAGAGTGACGGGGCGGGCGCGGGGTGGGTCGCGGGTGGGTTGCGGGCGGGTGGCGGGTGGGTCGCGGGTGGGTCGCGGGCTGTTGCCGGTTGGGTCGCGGGTGGGTCGCGGGTGGGTCGCGGGTGGGTCGCGGGTGGGTCGCGGGTGGGTCGCGGGTGGGTCGCGGGTGGGTCGCGGTTGGGTCGCGGGTGGGTCGCGAGTGGGTCGCGGTTGGGTCGCGGGTGGGTCGCGAGTGGGTCGCGGGTGGGTCGCGGTTGGGTGGCGGGCGGTTCACGGGTTGGTCGCGGGCCGGGTCGTGAGTGGGACGACGACAACAACAATAGTAATCATTTTAATTTTGTTCGCTCTGGTTTGCTCGCGTGCCATTTAAATCTCGGTGTCCCTCCTCTTCGTCTTCGATCGTACCCTCCTTGGGGGCATATTTTCCTTACCTGCGCGTGTAGTTGGCGCAGGTGAGGTACATTTCCCTTACCTGCCGCATCTTTTCCTTACCTGCCGCAGGGGAAGAAAGGGAGGAGGGAGAAGGATGGTGTACAAGAGAGATTCGCAGGAGGAGGGTTAGGATTGGAGTGCAAGCGGCAGAACGAGACGGGCGGGTCGGGCGGGCGGACTGGGCAGGTCGGGCGGGCGGGCCCAGACGGCTCGGTCGAGCGGACGGGTCGCTGAAGCGTCAATCCAATATGAGTCGCAAGGAAGTTTTGAGCAATAGCGCGATTCCCAAGTACGTCGTGAGGAAGTCCAGAGCGAGAGCGTGATTCCTGAGTCTTGTGGGCACGGCGTCGCAATAATTTGTAAGGAAATACAGCGCGAGAGTGCGATCCTTGCATACATTTTGAGGAAGTCCTGCGCGAGAGCGCGAATGCGCAAGAAGTTGTGAGAAAGTATCATGTGAGAGCCGCTGTTGTTTAAACCGGTGGCCAGGGACGCATTTTGAGGAGGAATATTTCCCTGATAAG